AAAAGAGCAAAGGAGGTTCAAGAAAAGAATGAAGATAGAGCTAATACGGGCTAATACGAGAGGGAGGATTGAGTTCTTACTTGCATGATATTTTCGGAATTGTTGGTTTTCTATATTTTTTTTCCTGCTTTTAACTTTATTTTTCTGTTTAATGTCTGAAATTTCTGGTTTTTTCTCATAGCATGATCAAATTAGGAAGATGAGGAAAGTAGACCAATTTTTTTTCTTTTCTTAGCTATTTTCATTAGCATGAATTGAACTCCTCCCAAATCTTCCAAATTATAGGGAAAAAAAGAAAAAGAAAAACTGAAGTATGCTATATTATTCTGTTTCTAATAAATAATTGATCACATTATTGTTGTGTACCTTTGTTTATGTCTATGATTATATCCCAAGCACTGTTGGTTGGTCATGTCATGTGATTGTATTTTGCATGAGTGTTTCTACCTGAAGGGAGGTTTCTCCATCATTTAGAATATTTTCACTAGATAATGCTTCTCTTGCTCCGTTGCTTGCTTATGTGGATGTGGCTTGGACAATTCACCATATATCTCTATGTTATGCCTTGGGCACAAGTATATTTATGTTCCACTGATTTTGGTCTGAACTTTTGAACATATTTAAGGGTTTAGAAAATGTGGTATGGACATATCATTTCATGATCCTTTTGGCTATTATGGAGTTTCAATGTTTCATTTGTCTTTGGAATTTCAGGATGATGCAGTGAAGAACCTAGTGACTAAGTTACACTGCAAAAGCTAAGCTTGATTTGGTGACACAAGCAAAATCCAAATTTGTTTTGGAGAATAGCATGGTTCATATATTCAATTCTGATTTTTATAGCTTGAGTGGATGTACATAGATACTAAGGGTAGAGTTTTTTTTTTGTCATTATTATTATTGTTTTTTTTTACCGACCTTTAAGTGTTTTGTATTGCCTACACGGTTAATGTTGCTTTTAGAGAGAACTTCACAAACCTGAGTCTGATCGCTCTTGCATACATCTGGAGTTCGATATATTTTTTCTTTTTCTTTTTTGATTGTGTTTGTTGTTTGATTTTGGTTTAGAAATAATCATGTAATGTTTATTTAGTCAATATATTGAAATAGCTGTAAAATTTTATTCATATTATTGTTATTTTTCAGCTTTATTACAAGTATGTTTTTTAGTTAAATATAATAGATTTAGCACAATTCAAAAACAGAAAAAAGACCTATAACGGCGTTTTTCCAAAACGCCACTACGATGCCATTGGTCATATTCTTAAAATAGAAAAAAATCTATCACGGCGTTTTTAAAACGTCGCTAAATATTGGATGACGTCATTTTATCATTATTTATGGCATTTAGCGACGTTTTAAAATGCCGCCTATACTAATTTAGCGACGTTTTTAAAACGTCATAATGTTACAGCGACGGCCGCATCTTCGGCGTTTGGTACTAAATGTCACAAAAATAATTAGCGGCGTTTTTTATACTTTTAGTGGCGTTTTTTAAACGCCACTAAATGTAAACTTTCCAACAGTGTGCACACTGAACCACCAGACCTGAGGCAAAATTTGAGCACAACAAGAGCTATCCACAGCTGACCAATCCTATTTATCAACCACCAAAACTTGCAGCTAGCTGCTTCCATACATAATCTGGACCAAGAGTAGCAGTAACACCAACTATGCAGACTTTAGCATAACATCACACAACATAAGACATGCAGGACACACCAGACAGACTCCAAGACAGACTCCACTGCAGAACAAAATGTAGAATTGAAACACAGCCCACCTCATGCAGCAACCTGAAGCCCCTCAAAGTTCATAGGATGAGAGTAGGTCCTTTTGAAGTCCTTGAGCTCATTATGCTGTCATGATCTCCTCAACAGAACCCCAACAAATTGGAGCTCCCAACCCCAAGCAGCCTATAACCAAGCTTCACCTGACTCAGAGCACCAAAGCTCCTCCCAGGCACAGCCTAATCTGGCTCAGATTACAAAGAAAATCATTAATTAAAAAATTAAAGCTCTTCAAGTGTGGACTCAACCATAGGCCTATCCTGGTCTTGATCAACTCACACAACTCATCCCTATTTATAATAGAAGAGTTGAAGATGCAGTCATTTCTCAGTTTCCAAATTGACCACAAAAAAGTCAGTGGAATAGCACTGCAAATTTTCCTTTCTAGCTCCGTCATCTTCCCTCCAGCCCACCATAATAGCAACTGGTCCACAGAGCCTGGTAGTGCCCCTTGCATCCTTCACCAATTCAGCATATCAGCCTATACACTCCACACAAAGGGACAGCAGACTAAGACATGGTTTGCAAATTCAATATCAATCCTCCAAATTTTATGTGTAATGTATGTTATTTAATCACACGTTTTAAGTTTCGTCAAAGTTTGATATTTGGAAGTGTGATAAAAAAATGGTTATTTTTAATCACACGTTTTGAATGTCATTAAAAAATGATTTCATTATCTTTTAAATGTGATTAATAACATTTAGATCATATATTTTAAGTCTGATTAAAAACTAATAAAACCTCTGATAATAAAAACTTAAATCACATATTTTAAGTGTGATTAATATCTAATAAAATGTGTGATTAATAATGAGATAAGATCACACGTTATATGCATTTCTCATCACAGTTAATGCGCGTGATAAAAAAATGGTTCGACATATTTGAAGGATAATCAATATTATTTTTGTATGTGCATTTGAAGAATGTAATACACACTATATACTATCATTTGAATCACAATCACATATTGAATGGAATAACATTATATATTTCATAAATGAAAGTTGAATGTTCAAAAGTATGTACAAAGGAATTAATAAAAAGTTATTAACTATGATTACATATATTAAAAAAAAAAAAAAAAACTTGAAGCGCAATGTTCTTGAATTCTTTAACCATATTTTGCATCTCTCCAAACAATTTGACTTTCTTTTCTTTTTGTTTTGTTTTTTTTTTTTTTTTTTTTTTTAAAAAAAAAAAAAAAAAAAAAAAAAAAAAAAAAAAAAAAAAAAAAAAAAAAAAAAAAAAAAAAAAAAAAAAACAACACCGAGGAAGAAGATGAACTGCACACCAACTTATTTTATTCATGTCGGGGCTCACCCCGATCACCATTTTACACCAAAAAAAAAAAAAAAAAAACAAAAAAAAAAAAAAAAAAAAAAAAAAAACTTATTGGAGTGTGGGACCCAATTGGTTTATTAAAAGAGTTTAATTTAGTTTGGTATTAGGTATAATATATTTTTATATATTATATTTGAGGAGACCCAATTCAATTTGGATACAATTAGGATTTGATTCCACAAAATCCCAGATTTAATATATATTGTTTATGTTTCTTGCTTGGTGAGAGAACAAAAAAGAAAAAAAGTGGCGGCTTACATTATTTTCTGAGAACAGTGCCGAAGATTGGGTTTTTTGGTTCAATTTCGGTTTTTGTGAAGCTCAGTTTTTGGGGCATCTTCGGTTGGTGTTTGGTTCGTTATTTTGGGTCTTCTTCAACTTTGGTTCAGAAGATTTTGGTTCTTCTATTTGGTGAGGTCTTTCCTCTTTGTTTATTTGTGATTATTTGGAATTCACCTAAGGGTGTTTTGTGAGACCATTAGTGTCTCGTTTGTAATCGTTTGGAATTATTTGGTTGATAGTGGAATCGGATTTCGATCCCGTGGACGTACCTCACATTGAGGGAACCACGTAAAAATTCTTGTGTTGCCTTTGATTTAATTTTTCCGCATTAGTTTTTATTCCCATTGATTGATTTACTTGTGGGGAATCACATATTTTCCCTAACAGTGGACTCAACCATATGCCTATCCCGGTCTTGATCAACTCACACAACTCATCCCTATTTATAATAGAAGAGTTGAAGATGCAGTCATTTCTCAGTTTCCAAATTGACTACAAAAAAGCCAGTGGAATAACACTCAAAATTTTCCTTTCTAGCTCCGTCATCTTCCCTCCAGCCCACCATAATAGCAACTGGTCCACAAAGCCTGGTAGTGCCCCTTGCATCCCTCACCAATTCAGCATATCAGCCCATACACTCCACACAAAGGGACAGCAGACTAAGACATGGTTTGCAGATTCAATATCAGTCCTCCAAATTTTATGTGTAATGTATGTTATTTAATCACACGTTTTAAGCTTTGTTAAAGTTTGATATTTGGAAGTGTGATAAAAAAAAATGGTTATTTTTAATCACGCGTTTTGAATGTCATTAAAAAAGGATTTCATTATCTTTTAAATGTGATTAATAACATTTAGATCATATATTTTAAGTGTGATTAATAACTAATAAAACCTCTGATAATAAAAATTTAAATCACCTATTTTAAGTGTGATTAATATCTAATAAAATGTGTGATTAATAATGAGATAAGATCACACGTTATATGCATTTCTCATCACAGTTAATGCGTGTGATAAAAAAATGGTTCGACATATTTGAAGGATAATCAATATTATTTTTGTATGTGCATTTGAAGAATGTAATACACACTATATACTATCATTTGAATCACAATCACATATTGAATCGAATAACATCATATATTTCATAAATGAAAGTTGAATGTTCAAAAGTATGTACAAAGGAATTAATAAAAAGTTATTAACTATGATTACATATATTAAAAAAAAAAAAAAAACTTGAAGCGCAATGTTCTTGAATTCTTTAACCATATTTTGCATCTCTCCAAACAATTTGACCTTTTTTTTTTTTTTTGAATAAGCAAAGAGAAGCTTTATTGATGAAAAGAAGAGAACTCATACAATCAGCAATAAAGTAAGGGGAAGGCTGCATACATCATAGCTACAAAAAATGATCCCAATAAGGTTGGCACCACTTAAGAAGCACAAACAGATGCAAGCAAACCCCAGGTTGATGAGAGACCAACCCAAGGAAAACGAAGAACAAAATAGAAGATAAACACCACCCACACCCCACTGATACAAAAACCAAAAGCACCAGAACACCAAACACCACTATTAGGCTTTGATCCTATCAAGATTATTGACTATATCCTCCACTAAAAACTGCAAACCTCTAGTGCTTTGCTTAGACCAAAGTGCTACCCTTACTTTCACCAGTTTAGATAATTCTAGCCCATCAACAATCTTACCATGAGAAAGGCACTCATTCCTTCCTTTCCAAATTGACCACATAACAGCCAAGGGAACAGTTTTCCACATTGTTTGGACCACCTTTTTGAACTTGAAACTTGCCCACCAATTCAACAAAACCTCAACTGACCCCGGTAGTACCCAAACCAAATCCAACCATTTCAATATATTAATCCACACTTTCCTAACCAAAGGATAGAACAGTAGCACATGATTAACTATCTCCCCCTCTGCTTTGCACAGCAAACACAGCGAACTAGCTTCCATGTTCAACACACCAATCCTCTTAAGAAATGTTGAAGTTTTAAGTCTACCTTTCCATGCTAACCAACCACAAAATTGCACCTTGGGTGGGGCAATATTCTTCCACATCATGTCAGTAACACCAACAGCAGAACTTTTCATAGACACCCACCACTTCCATGCTGAAGCTATAGAGTATGAACCTGATGAATTGACCAGCCACAAGCAAGAGTCCTCAGAATCTGTTGTGAGTGAAGGTGCATCCCTAAGTAACTCTTGTAGCCTTACAACCTCCTCCTCCTCCCAAGCTAGCAGAGGTCTTCTGAAAAGGAAATTCCAATCCTGAATTGATCCTCTCCTTTGATACATCTGCAGAATTGTGCAACCTTTCTCCACAAATAAGCTATACAACCTAGGGAATTTCTCCTTCAAACACAAGTTATTTAAACACTTATCCTCCCAGAATTGGAGTCTTTGCCCATTGCCTGCAACTTACTTAAAATTTGATAAATAATAATCAACCAAACAAGGACAATGTGCATCAATGTGGAGAACATCAGCCCACACTCTGGACACTGAACTAGACTCTGGTGCAGTAGGTATCCAGTTTCCCCCACCGACGCCATATTTACACCTCAACATTTGCTTCCAAAGGGCTTTGTCCTCCACTCCAAACCTCCACCACCATTTAAGTAAAAGACAATTATTGACTTCTCTTAGCTTTCTAACCCCCAGACTCCCTTGTGATCTATCTACTGCTATGTCCTCCTGTGGGGATATATTTTTGAGTACCAACACGTGGCAAGGTGACGCCGATGTGTCAGCCGAGGTGCCACGTGTCCTGGTTATTATGCCGAGGTTATCTCGGCGTTGCCGAGGTTATCTCCGAAGATATCAGAATTTGAGATAAATGGATAAGGGACAAGAGTCCTAGAATGAAGAGGAGATTTAGCCAAGATAAGGATAAAGCTCCTAGAGAGTTTATCTTTATCTCTTGAGGAGTCCAAAGTAAGTACTGAATTGGAATCCATAGAAGTCAGGCTTCTAGTGGGACTAGGATTGAGTTAACTATAAAAGAGAGGCACCCCCGTGGGTCTAAGGTACGCAATTTATGCTTTGAGTAGTAAGTTTAGCACTTGATTTATCTTTGAGAGATATACTGACTTGATCGTTGGAGTGCCCCCAGGTGGAAGAACCACCGCCGGAGCCTTTTCTTTCTGTTACAGGTTACTGAAGCCATCTATTCTGCCAGTGGTCTCTAGCTGATTACTAAACGGGCAGTGTGGTCAGAAAATTACTCATACAATTTGGCGCCGTCTGTGGGAAGAAGGAAGAATAGATGGCCAGTAACGCATAGAATGAAAAGATAGGGGACGACACTCCTGCTGGGAGTGGCAGACCTATAGACCTTGATATCGAAGGAGACAACCACAATGCAGAAACTCGTGACTAGGGCCACGGAGAGAAAGACGTCGGCCAGGAGGGCGACACTTCGAAGAAGACAGACCAAAGCAGGTACTATAACGAAGATAACCTCCAGGTATGGAGGGATAGGTGCCTACGGAGGGATGAAGAAGTAAAAGAATTGGCAAACAAGTTGGCAGACCTACAGTCGGTCGTCAACTTCATGATGCAAAACAATGTCATGCAGCCACCGTACCCGCTGCACGACATGCCGATTCCAGCAACTAACACCCAGATGGGAGGAAGGAAAACAATCCCCGAAGCTCCTCAGCACACCAGGAGCAGAAGGCACTCTCTCCGACCTTCTAGGGAAGTCGGACGAGAGGAGCCGAGACGAGAGGAGTCCCGAAGGACGTATCACACAAAGGACCCAGAGCCCAAAGAACATCGACATGTTCAAGGGCAGGCGCTCTGCTTTGACACAACCCATGGAGAAAGATCAAAACGGGCCCACCACGAGGCCGAAAGTAGTGTGCCGAAAAGATTGAAGTCCAAAGATAGCCGAGCTCCAGGGAGGAGTAAAGAAGACTTGAGAGATTATCTCAAGAGGAAGCAACAGAATGCTGAAGCCGAGGTAACTTCATCGGTTAAGCCGAGGACACCATTCTCGGTGGAATTGGACAAATTTGAAACACCAAAGAGATTCAGTATGCCGAGGTTCCAAATATATGACGGTAAGTCAGATCCCAACTTTCACGTTGGATTATACCTGAATTCAATGGCATTATATAGTGGGAACGAGCCGTTGCTAGCAACAGAATGCTGAAGCCGAGGTAACTTCCTCGGTTAAGCCGAGGACACCATTCTCGGTGGAACTGGACAAATTTGAAACACCAAAGAGATTCAGTATGCCGAGGTTCTAAATATATGACGGTAAGTCAGATCCCAACTTTCACGTTGGATTATACCTGAATTCAATGGCATTATATAGTGGGAACGAGCCGTTGCTCTGCAAAGTATTCCCCTCATCCTTTGGGGAGATTGCATCAGATTGGTTCCATAAACTGCCGAAGGGAAGCATAAAGACTTGGGAAGGCCTGGTCGAGATGTTTGTGGCCAAGTTTGTAACGAACAAACTACAGCCCTTGAGGGTCGATGCTCTGATGGCTTTAAGGATCACCAAGGATGAAGGCCTTAGGGCCTACGCAAAAAGGTACTACGAGGTGTTCAATCGAATACCCGAATACAACCAAGAGGTGGCGGTCGTGTCTTTCAAGAACGGCCTGAAAGATGACTGCCCACTACGGAAGTCTTTGGCAAAGACATTGCCAAAAAGCATGGAAGAACTCATGGCGAGAATCGAAAAGTACGCCAGAGCCGATGAGGATACGTCGGGAAACAAAGAGACAAAGCAGGAGAAAGGAAACGGCTCGCCGAAGGGAGGCCGAGGTAACAATGGATTAACTAAACAAGAAACGGAATTAAGGGCTAAACAGGTAGTGACGACTGTGTTCCGAATCCCGGTCCACAAAGTCCTGGATCAAATACGAAACCAACCCTATTTCTGAGGACCGACAAGAACACCAGGGAAATTTATGGGAAGAAACATCGGTAGGCATTGTGCTTACCACAATGAAGAAGGGCACCCAACTCAGGGTTGCAGAGCCCTAAAAGCACACCTAGAAGACTTGGTGAGGCAAGGCCATCTGAGGGACCTTGTCGATGAGGCCAGGACAAGGGAAGAACAGGCAAGATTGCCTCAAGCACTAGCAGCTCCGCCTCCCCCAGCACAGCAACCACAGGCAGGAGGACCACGGGTGGTTAATGTAATTCACTCAAAAGTGAACGAAAATGACATACGAGGGGAGACCCAGAAGGTAAAACACCTACAGCACATAAACCAGGTCGGACATAAAAGACCTCGGCCTGAAGAATGCCAGGGATCGACGATAGCCTTTACCGAAGACGACCTAGAGATGGTCCATCATCCACATAATGATGCCTTGGTAGTATCCCTCCAGGTTGGGGAGTGCCAAGTGAAACGCATCCTGATTGATCAAGGCAGCTCTTGCGACATCATGTATGTTAGATGTTACAAGGAGTTGGGCCTTCATCCTGATGACTTGGAGCAATCTAATGGCCCGATGGTCGGCATCAATGGAACGCCGACGTGGCCACTGGGCGCAACAAGCTTGGAAGTACAAGCCGGCACTAAAAAGGTCAGGATAGAATTCATAGTGGTTGACATGCCTTCGCTATACAACATCATCTTGGGAAGGCCATGGTTGCATGCAATGGGGGCAATTCCCTCAACATTGCATCAACTACTGTGATTCCCAACAGAGCATGGGACAGAGGAAGTTAGAGGCGATCAGCTATAGGCGAAGAGTTGCTCCATGGCAGCAATGAAATCTAATTGCAGCGTGCGAGAGCCAGAGAAGACAGAAATTGAAGATGAGGACTTGGAAGTCCTAGAAGACGTCGCCAAAGAACCAGCCAAGAAGAGCGAAGAGGTGCTAAAGAAAATCCTCGTCCAGGATGGGGATGAAGAACGCTTTTTTCTTCTCGGCTCAGGCTTAGCTGAAGAAGAGGAAAAAGAGTTAGAGACTTTTTTAAGAGCAAATATTGAGGTGTTTGCTTGGACACCTTATGAAATGCCTGGCATTGACCCCGAGGTCACTTGCCACAAACTGAATGTTGACAGGTCGGCCAAACCTGTAATTCAGTGAGCCAGAAGACCGACGTTGATACACGTCGAAGCAGTAGAAGAAGAAATAGACAAACTTCTGGAGGCCAGGGCCATTAGAGAAGTACACTACCCAACATAGCTATCCAATACAGTGGTGGTAAAGAAGAAGAATGGTAAATGGAGGGTCTATGTAGACTTTACCAGCCTCAACAAAGCCTGTCCCAAAGACAGCTTTTCCCTGCCCAAAATTGACCAGCTAGTAGGTGCCACTTCAGGGCATGGAAGAATGAGTTTTCTAGACGCCTACAGGGGGTACCACCAGATCGTCATGTACCCCTTAGACGAAGAAAAAATCGCATTCATCACCCCAAAAGGCCTGTACTGTTACAGGGTAATGCCTTTCGGGTTGAAAAATGCAGGAGTAACTTACCAAAGGCTAGTAACCAAAATGTTCAAACACCTGATTGGCCGAACGGTAGAAGTCTACATCGATGACATGGTCGTGAAGACCAAGGAACCTAAGGGTCATCTTGCCGACCTAAAAAAGGTCTTTGATATACTCAAAACATACTGGCTCCGACTCAATGCATCGAAATGTGCGTTTGGAGTTGGATAAGGTAAGTTTCTGGGGTACCTGGTAACAAGAAACGGCATTGAGGCCAGCCCAGATCAAATCAAGGCCATCCTAGAGTTGAAGAGGCCGACATCGGCAAAACAGGTGCAGATGCTAACTGGAAGGGCCGTAACCCTAAACAGGTTCATCAGTAGAAGCTCAGACAAATGTAAACCCTTCTTCAATCTGGTGAAAAAGGCCACAGACTTCCTATGGACTGAGGAATGTGAGGCCGCTTTGTCCAACCTAAAGAAATATCTGACCACGGCTCCAGTCCTCTCAACACCTGAACCTGGGGAAGAACTATTTTTGTATTTAGCAGTTTCAGAACACGCAGTAAGTGTAGTACTAATCCGAGAGGAAAATGGGGACCAAAAGGCTGTTTATTATGTAAGCAAAACCTTGGCCGATGCAGAAACAAGGTACCTACCACTAGAGAAATTAATGTTGTCCTTAATAATGGCTTCAAAGAAGCTGAACCATTACTTTCAAGCGCACAAGATTATAGTGCTAACAGAGCACCCACTGAAGTCCTTGTTACAACAAGGAGACTTAACAGGAAGGATAACAAGATGGGCAATGACCTTGGGCTAGTACGACCTGGAGTTCAGGCCGAGAACAGCAATTAAGGGCCAAGTTTTGGCCGACTTCATGGCCGAATTC